GGCCTTCGTGCAGTACCACCTGCGGCGCAGCACCGGCACGCTGCTGGCGCACTCCCTGCTGCCCCTGGGTGAGTATGGAACGAGCGGCCCGAGCCCTGTAACCAGCGCGCTGCACCGCAGCACATGCACTCACCGGGGAGCTGCAGTTAAAGCACGGACTGCGGAGTGAGATGCTGGAGAGCAGGGCCATGGAAAGGGACCCGGGGACCCTGCTCAGGGGCAAGTTGAACTGAGCCAGCAGTGCCCTGGCAGCCAGGAGGGACATCCCTGTCCTGGGGACATCAGGCACAGCAGCACAGCCGGGCAAGGCAGGGATTGTCCCGCTCTGCTCTGGGCTGGGGCGGCCTCACCTCCAGTGCTGAGGGCAGCTTTGGGTGCCACAATAAAAGAAAAACATTAAACTATTAGAGCGTGTCCAAAGGAGAGCAACAAAGATGGTGAAGGGCCTTGAGGAGAAGCCGTGTGAGGAGAGGCTGAGGGCACTTGGTCTGTTCAGCCTGGAGGGGACTGAGGGGAGACCTCAGTGCAGTTACAGATTCCTCGAGAGGGGAAGAGGAGGGACAGACACTGATCTCTTCTCTCTGGTGGCAGTGACAGGACCTGATGTTATGTCAGGGGAGATTTAGGTTCAATATTAGAAAAATGTCCTTTCCCCAGAGGGTGGTTGGGCACTGGAACAGGCTCCCCAGGGCAGGAGCCACAGCATTAAGCCTGATGGAGTTTGAGGATGCTCACACACGTGGTGTGACTCTTGGGGTGTCCTATGCAGGACTGAGTGTTGGACTTGATGATCCTTGTGACTCTCTTCCAGCTCATCATCTTCTGTGATCTGTGATATAACCAAGGAATGCAAATCAGCTTCCTTTAGCCATATAATTCTACTAAAACTAAACAGCATCTTGCAGGTAATTTTTTTCAGCAACCAAATTCAGATCACTTTCCTTTAGGTATAAAATTCTGGTAAGAATCGGTGATGCCTAAGAATTTATCTCAGCTTGCTTAAGACAGGAGGCTTGAATTTGAAGTCATCCAGAAGTACAGTACTTCTCTTGGAGGTGAGCTCACTGGTTAGATAACCATATGATTCAGGGTATCTGTATTTTCAGGTACTTAATTGTCTTCTGAAAGTAAGTTTTTTTCCTTGCAGGTTATTACCTTGGTATGTGCTTTGCTGCACCTGAAAAACATCTTTGTTTTTTCTACCTGGCTTCAAAAGAGTGGAAAACTTTCTTCTTCTTCGCCATTCTCCTCCCAGCAGTCACCAGTGCCCTGGCATATTACTGGTCACGGAAAGGCTGGAATAATCACCCGCTAGCCCGGACACTCGCTGTTCACGCTCTCCCGCAGTCGGGTTGGAGGGCAGTAGCTTCTTCCATCAACACAGAATTTAGGAGAATCGATAAATTCGCTACCGGAGCTCCAGGAGCGAGGGTGATCGTTACGGACACGTGGGTGATTAAAGTGACCACCTACTGTTTACATGTTGCCCAGCAGCAGGACATTCACCTGACGGTGACAGATTCCAGACAGCACGAGCTCACCCCAGACTCCAACGTGCCTGTGCAATTCCTCACCATCCGAGTTGCCAGTGTTAATCCCTACATCAAGGCATTCGATATCAGGTAAAACAACTGCTAAACCTGTTATGTTACCTGTGTGCTGTTTGACGGTGCTGAGGGAGCACTTCTGTGCCCAACCTGCAGACTCCCTGGTCTCATCCCTTCCTTTCTGGTCCCTGCCTGCTGTGGTCAGGGCTTTTGTATGTGCAGTTCTGCCATGCAGTGCAGATTGTTTAGCTTCATACACATGCAACACTGAATACAAAATGGATAAACAAAGGGATTGGCCTCTTTGATCCATTCTTAGGGAGAGGATTGTACTGGATGCAAAAAGAAGTAGCTGCATAAAATTAGGTGAGAGATGGATAACAGGAACGAAAGGTAGAATTTTTGATCTTCTAAATTTTGGGTGAGGAGAAATAGTTATTTGTCTAAAACTGTCTGCTGTTCATCCACAACTTTGGATTTTCCTCATGCTTAAGGCTGATAATTTTGTCACTGCTCAGAAGAGTTCTCACTGAGCTATTGCAAGCCAACTGCCCCTATAACAAGGAAAAAATTTTGGTCCTTTTCTGATTTATGTGTTCTCATAGCAGTAAATCATAACAACTGTGAATGTTAGGGCTTGTTTTGCAAGGGCCTGTGCTGTTTATCTCAGCAGTCTCTGTGTAACCAGGCTAAAGTACAAGCAGAAACCTCTTTCTTGTTGTATTATTAAGAACCATGTTAGTGCTCCTAAAACTATATTTGAAAAGGTATTTGACTGTCTTCTTGCTATAAATTTGTATGTCAGGAGCGTTTATTAGGTAATTAAAAGGAGGCACATCACCGGACTTGTATGTGTGCAGTGGGGCAAGCATGAGGAAGGGAAAGAAGTGATTATGGTAGAAATCCAGCTGAACAGAACTCAGAACAAGAGGTTGGTTAAGGTAAGCATGACAGTGCTAAGAAAAGATACTTTTATAGACCTGTGACAGTGGTGACCAAATTAGTATTAAACAACTAATGATTCTGCAAGCACTTCAATGCCAGAGTGGTAAAACTACATCCCCAGCTGAGAAAATTGTGATTTGTTTGACAACTCCTTTTAGGGAAAAAAAGTCCTAAGTCCAAAATGCATTTTGTGACTAAACAGAATAGCATCAAGAACAGTGTTTAAAAGCTGTTTTAATAAGATGTCAGTAATAGTAAATCTCTGCTAGAATGTAGAAGAATCATACAGGATCATTGTATATATCCAGGATCGGAATCAAATACAATGAGATGTTTTTGGAGGAAAAATGCTTCTGTGCAGGTGGGCCACGGTTCCCCTGCATGTTCAGTGTGAGTTGTTCCTCTGTGTGTAAATGTCTCTGTGATTTGCATGGATAGCATCTGTTAAATTACATTATCCCATAGCAGTAAAAAGAATGGAGACCGCTGAGAGCTAGAGCTAAGCCAGCCTTGCATTGTGCTGGTCTTTGGGAACTCAGTGAGTGATGGGAAAATGAGGGCAGTCTTCCCAGGACTTCTCCATGAAAGCTGTTTAATGAGTGGAAGCATTGAGCTGGAGAGTTCTGACACTACAGTTCAGAACTCTTATGGTAAAAAGGGATGACAACAGGGACGTGTCACTGTCATCTGTGTGAGGTCGCAGGTGCCACTTGCAGGCATCACTTTAATTTACAGAAGCAACTTGTGTGAAACAAAGCTTGCTGCAGCCTGAAATCAGCAGTGGTTTGTGACCTTTGTGAAATTTCTGGGATTATGTTATGATACAATCTAAAATTGTATCATAAAATTACAGAACCTGATAGATTGACACTTTAGCTATTTATGTAGTACTATATCACCTTGTGGTGCCTGCTGCATGATACAACTAATTTCTCTTAACTAAACTCCTCAGGAGTTTATAATTGAGAATTTAAATAACATTGAAGTAAATAGGCATTAAAAAGGTGACAGAAATGGTGCAAACAGCACTTTGCAGTTAATGCATGATTTATGTACCTATATTGCTTTTGTTCATGCCAATTACTTCAAGAGCTCTTATTCTTGTATAATGTTTTAGCTGATCTCTGACATACCCTGCTGTCAGTCTTACACAGATATGAATGAGGACAGCATGTTCTGCTGATGAAGTTGTGCCAAAACAAATAGCTGAACAGCAGAAGAAAACAAGAAAACACAATGTTGTGTATTTATTCTGACCAATAAGTACCAGCTTTTCTGTGGATTTGCTTCATTGATGTTAACCTCTGCAAGGTACTATCAAGGTATTTGTGTGGATAATCATAGTAATATTTTTCTCCATCTTTTCTTCTTCAGGTTGAACTCCACAGAGTATGGGGAGCTCCGGGAGAAGCTCCGTGCTCCTATCAGCAATGCAGCTAATGTTGTGATCCATCAAAGCCTTAGTGATTTATTTTTAGAAACCTTTACATCTCTGGTGGAAATAAACCAGACATACCATGTTCCAAGTACTCAGGTGAAACTTTCTATCCGTGTGACACTGTAACAATTATACTTTCAACGTGGATGTGCCTGTGATTACTGTGTAAATGATAAATGTTTACCTAGGGCTATCTCAGGTGAATTACTAAGAGAATTCATTGTTGTGAGGTTAACAAAAAGGTTTAAGTAAAAATGTGGATTAAATGACAAATTATTATTATGTTATTACTGCTTAATAATCCTCATTTAATAATTAAACAGTATTCAGTCAGTAATTAAATAGTAAGTGAACAGCAGTTAAACACCCTATTACTCGTTACACTTCTAATAAATCAGCTAGCTTGCATTCAATATGTATTACATCAAATATAAACTATTACTTACCTTGCTGTAGATAACAGATACCAAGTAAGGGATCTCTTGATCTCAAGAGGTCCTTTGAGAGATCTCCTACCTATCTGAGGCTGCCCTACAGGAGAGTTCCATGGGCTTGGGGGATGCAGTCCCTCACTTAGAGAGTGACTGGTGGTTAGAGTGCCCCTTGGTGTGGGTGTACAGCTGTAGGACTTACCGCTTCCTCTCGTTGGCCCCTGATAAGACATGGCCTAGATTCCTTAACTTCCTGAGAAGATGCAGCCAAGCACAACTTCTTAGGGTCTGCACAGCCAAGGCTGACTCCAGTCAGGCCTCCTGGTCAGTGATGCCAGAAACCCAAGTGCTCTTTGCTCATTCAGGGTGATCCTTCCCTCACAAATGCTCACCTGCTGTGTCAGTAAACTCATCATACACATAACTCTGGCTGCTGCTTCTGTTCCTGCTACAAGGAACACACTGTATTGTTAGCATTACAGTTTTGAGACATGAGAAATAACATAGTGAAATAAAGTCTCCTGTAATAATGTCTACAAAAATATTACATGAATGCATTTGGAAATTATGACATTGCACTTGCAGAAAGTTTATGGGGAGCCAGAGCCACAGCTGCTGTTGCTGTTCTTTAGGCAGTTTGCTCCAATACAGCTGGCTTTTCTAGACAGCCAGGTTTTGTTGGATCTTCTGCTGAAATAAACTAATGATTCTTAATTGGGGTTCGCTTTAGTTATTATGGCTATTATATGGTGTTAATTATAACAGCACAGAGTCCTACCTTCATTAATACTCACAGAGACCTGGTCATTATTCTACTTGTGCAGCAGTTGGAGGTGTGACTGGAGCACTGTCCAGTGTACCAGAGGGAGCCAATTAAAGCAGTACTGGTGGCCCTGCAGGGAGTCTGTGTCCAGTGGTTCAGCTGATGGAGTGAGTGGTATCTATGGTAGTGTTGCACAGCTTATATAGTTTATGAACTAGCTAAAATAAAACTGGATCAGGTGTGTCTGTACATTATGTTGTATGTTCTGATGGCACTTCCAGCAAAAAGGGCTAGTCACAATAAATAGAAGATATTAAAGCTGATTTCTTGCAAAGCATTTAATTTGTGACACATTTAATTGGCAGCTGAACTTCTGGACTCGTGTTTGACATTGAGTGATAAATGACATCACTGATGATGTCAAAAATACAACATTGAATTTTTTTGCTATTCTGAAGCTCCATTGATATGTTGAAAAAGTTAGTTATTCTTTCTATGCTAGAATTTTTCCTGCTTAAAAGCTAAGACCTAATATGACAAGTTAAAGCTGAGTGGCTTGTGTTCATCTGGATCTGCTCCACAGCCCAGCTGAACAGACAGCTGAGCTGTCAAAGGAAGAGTCACTGGAGATGGGAACTAGAGACTATGGAGAGAGCTGGTTTTTGTTCCACCAGGAGCATTTTGAACAGATTCAGGTCTCTGTGCCTATTCAGTGTGTTGTCTTTAGAGCTTTGTCAAGTTCTTGAGCAGCTGGAAAACATGTGGGAAATGCTAATTATTTTTTATTAATTGTAAAACACTTCATAGCAAGATGTTTCCATATGCAACTGCAAGTTCATGTGGCATAATTAACTGTGGGAAAATATTTTAGGTGGTAAGAACTGTTTGCTTGGTTTGTTTTCCTTCTTTTATACTAGTATGTTTTTTGAAAAATAGTTTGAATGACAAAGCTGGCTACTTGCTTACCTTGCTGTGGCTGCTGGAAGCTCTTCAGAGAGTGAATGAATGTTTATTTTTCAGTCATTTTTGTTTAATCATTAGTCTCATGCAGCAGTTCTGGGTTTTTTGTTCAAAGAGAAGCTTTGCTGTCATTCATTACAGTGTTCTAATAAAACCATTTGATTCCCTCTGGTGGGGCAGTTCTGCCTTGATTATTCTGCCACAGATGATTTTCTAAAAGCCTTTGAAAAGCAGTAACAGGAGCAATTCTGTGCAGTTCACAATTCTGATGGTTTTTCTCCTCCCTCAGGAGCTGGAGCCATGCATAGGGTGTATGCAGACTATTGCCAACATCAAGCTCATCAAGAACTGCCAGGAGCCAAACGAGGGGGAATGCCAGCAGTGCTACTGCCGGCCCATGTGGTGCCTCACCTGCATGGGCAAGTGGTTTGCCAGCAGACAGGACCAGCAGCACCCAGAGACCTGGCTGTCGAGCCAAGTGCCTTGCCCGACTTGCCGAGCCAAATTTTGCATTCTAGATGTTTGCCTAATACGATGAGTAATAACTTGGGTATGTTTTTACTTTTTTAATTTGACTATTTCATAATGGGTTTGGTTAAAGGCCTGCTAGATCTCTTTCTGAGACTTCATGTTCTACCAGGGTACAAACTCTAAAAGTTTCTTTTACAGTGTTAAAAACAGATGTAAATCTTTTCAGTTCCTTTCCACTTTTACCTGTAACTGTGGATTTTACTCACCTGATGTCAGCTTCTGGATTTTAATTTTGTTTAAACCCCTGTTTTCTTTTCTTACATTTTGGATGGAATAAGGTTATCCTTCTATATTTGCAGTACTGTTGTTTTTTCAGGTTTTAACGTAGGTTAAATTCTTTACATTTTTAAATTTATCTTGGGTTTTGATTCTTTAATAAAGGGCTAACTGAGAAAATTGTTTTGATTATACTTCATTGATGCTTTTGTTATTCTTTAATCCAGTTGTAAAGTTAAATTCTCAAAGTAATCTGACATGCCTCCAGTGTTTGTGAGCTTCTTAAATACTGTGTTAGAGAAACAAGTTGTTAAAAATTCTTATGAACATGAAAATAATAGGGTACAAAAATAGACATTTGTCTTTGTGATAGCTTCAGGTTATCATCCAAAGAGCTACATGCACATGTATGGTCACTTCTAGAGAAGATCCTCTCTGTTTGCAGTACAGAACACACCACTGCCTCCCACACAATCTTGATGCATTTCTTAAACAAGAGGATAGGGTTTAGAATAAGTTTTCTTACAGCATTTTGTGAAAACAAAACAACAAACCAACAGAAAAAAACCCAAGTAATGCAAGTGGCTTGACTATTTACTGAACTTTTTTTTTTATTGTGTGTAAATCACAAATAGTGATTTAGTTTTGCATTTCCAGCTGTGTGTATGCTTTTCCACATCATTGACTTGTGGGTGGGCAGTGCTAGTAATCTGAGGTATATTATATACATGTGATGTCATTAAACTAAAGACAGTCTGTGGGTGGACTGTGTTAGTTTAAGTACTCCATAGGAGTGTATCATGTATAGCCCAAATTTCCCAGTGTGGTGCAGGTCAACAGGTCTTTCAGAACATGAGTCACACCTATATTATTTATTTCTCCAGCTGTATTAGTTCTGTAATTGCAGTGTTCCAGAAGATACTGGGGAAAATGTTATCTGTTGTTTTTTTTAGGTTAACATAATTTGTCAACCCAAAAAAGACTTTTTTCCAAGCAGGAGATATTTTTAATCCTTTACATGAATACAGTTTTTCTACTATGAGGTTTGTCATAGCTTGAAACCAAAATACAAAGTTATAATGTGATCTCTGCAGTGTGACTGTTTTTATTGTGTTGAAACTGGACCAAGTTGCCCAGAAAAGTGGCTGCCTCATTCTTGGAAGTGCTAAAGGGATTGAACAGGACTTTGAGCAACCTGATCTGGTGGAAAGTGTCCCTGCCCATGGCAGAGTTAGAACTGGATGATCTTTAAGGGCCTTTCCAACTCAAACCTTTCTCTGATATTGCTAAACTGCAGCTAAGCACCATTCCAGTCAGGACAAACCTCAGTAAGACTGAGGTTCTCAGTGCCATTTTTAAAGAAATGTTTGTTGACTTTGAGCTGTTTAAGGACTTGAGATATAAATACTCAAGCTTATACACAAATTACAAAACATTTTCTCCCAAAGACATACTGCAGGATTTCTTATTTGTGGTTTTTGGGGTTGGTGGATTTTGTTTGGTTTTTTTTTGCTAGACAGCTTACCTGTTTAAAATGAACAGTTTTATTTGGATAGCCCTTAAGGAAAAGGCTTAATGAATACATGCAGTTATTCTTAAAACTCTCTGAAGAGCTTAATAAAAATACAGTAGATTCTTTGTAAGACTTCTGGTTTTAATTTTAAAGTTATGTTTACCAGGTAAAACTTTGTATGGGTGGAAATCGGTCTGGCTTATCTGTATGCAGTGTCTTACCTGAGAACATGAGAATAAATACAAATAGGGCTTAAATTCTCCTGAAGGTGTACATGGTAAGTCCTCCTTGGATGGATTTTCCTACTACAGCCTGAATGCAGAGGATTGCATAAATGGATGAAGGTGTGTATGAAATCTCTGTAAGAACTTCAGGGGAAAAAAGGCCTCCAGATACTTTTTACAACTATCAGATGGGAAGGAGTGACACTGGATGTCATGAAATCAGCAGGGGCAATGACAAAAAATTTGTCTTTCCAAGGAAGCACTGGCATGTAGCAATGTTGTGTCCTATAGAAAACATTTATTTAATTGTGACCTTGCTCAGATTTATTACCAAGCACCAGTAATAAAGAATCTATCACATTCCTATATCACATTCCTGTAGTAGAGGACCTGCTGGAGTGCGTCCAGAGGACAGCCATGAAGACATTTAGAGGACTGGAGCACCACTGCTATGGAGACAGGCTGAGAGAGCAAGAGGCACTCAGGCTGGAGAAGAGAAGGCTCCAGGGAGACCTTGCAGCACCTTCCAGTACCTAAAGGGTCTCCGAGAGAGCTGGAGAGGAACTTTTGACAAGGCCATGGCATGATAAGAGAAGGGAGAATGGCTTTAAACTAAAAGGGAATAGTAGGTTCAGGTTAGGTAGAGGGGAAGAAATTCTTCACTCTGAGGGTGGTGAGGCACCAGGGTGGAGAGGCTGACCAGAGAAGCTGTGGATGTCCCAACCCTGGAAGGGATCCTGTTCAAGGCCAGGCTGGATGGGGCTCTGAGCATCCTGCTCTAGGGGAAGGTGTCCCTGCCCATGGCAGGAGTTTTAAGTAAAGGGTCTTCAGCATCCCTTCCCACCCAAACTATTCTGTCATTTTATGAAACTGGCTAGCCTACGGCTAAGTACCATTGCAGTCAGGATAACCTCAGTAAGACTAAAGTTCTGAGTGCCTTTCTTAAGAAATGTTTGTTGACTTTGAGCTATTTAAGGAGTTGAGATCTAAATATTGGAGCAAGTTATCTTTAAGATCCTTTTCAAGCCAAACTGTTCTACGATTCCATTAATGGTATGAAATGTGGTACACATTCCTGTAGCGTGTATATTGAGGTGGCCACCAACCCTTCACGACGTTGACCCAAAACAAATCCTTGGCTATTGCGTGAGGCACCACCGTGATGTGCGAGCTGGATTTTCCCTGCATTTGCGAGGGGAGTGGGCTGGGCGATGCAGCCGGACGGAGATGGTGTGAGGGTGTCCTCGGTGTGAGGGAAGCTGCGGCCGGCCCCTCAGAGGGGCGGAGGACACATTGCTCCAGTCTGACGGAGCAGCACTCCCGCAGGAACAGCACCGTCCCGGGCCCTCCCGGCCGCGGCACCGCCCGGGCC